AAACGTTGCCGAGTCCCAACCGAATTCCCTAGAAACACAGTGGAAAATGTTAATCGATTAAAATTACGTACACAGGATTTTAGCTTAAGGCAGGAAAAACGCGAAAAATGGCTTTATATACCTACACTGTAAAAGTAAACTAGTAGGTAAAATATTGATCCGTCTTTAAATTGTAGGTACAAGACAATAAGCCATTAATAATTGTAATTAGTTTTATATTTAAATAGTTACTTTGGAAAATTTACAAAAAGGTACGCTGTAGTAAAACATCGGCAACGCTGCGATTATACAATGCAGCAGTGTGCACGAGGTTGCCAAATGTATCGAGGTGGTGTGTTCAGGGCGGACGGTTTACTTGATGGGACATCGTGTTTTAATCGCCTGAATATCTGGGCTGCGATAGGTAGAGGGAGGTGCAAAAATTATTTATAGACCGTGTTTTAAACACTATAAATATTTTTTATTTAAAATAAAGTTGTCTGCTCTATTTCTTATTTTAATACAGGCTCTTACCATTTTGAATGACATGAATTCCTGAGGTTTTCTAGTATTTTTTCATCTAATTTGATAGGGCAGCAACATTTTATTTGTCAAAGGAATTTCGAAAAAATATATGTACGATAAGAACAATAAAAATTATCTGTTGTCCTTTATTACTTAATATTGCACAGCAGATTACAACTCGACTTTATGTCACCCCCACGTGGTTATGCTGGATGGTCTATTCCTAAACCTCTATTATCAGATCAACTAAGACCTGCAAAACCTATAAAACAATTACTAAAATGCTGACATTTTCACCTTGGTCAATAACTGATACGGCCCTCTACATGCATAATTCATTCAAAATGTTAAAGATTATCAATTTTTAAGTTTGTATGTTTCAAAAGTGAAAAATGGAGAATGCGCCAGGGATACTTATAAATGTAAACACAGGCCCGCAAGAAAAGTGCTCTGCGCCATAAATACGTAAGACCATGATTTTTCTGTAACTTCTACCGCTGAAAGTGAAAGTGAAAACTTAGTTTAGCTAAGTTTTTTTCTAAAACGCAGGGTAGTTCTATCTTAAAAAATGTTTTTGTTTTCTTAATTTATGTTAGATTAAATTTTTTGGTTAAAATGATTAAAAAGTTTTTCCTATTGACTACCCGATCCGGATTTTTGAGTTATAAGCAAAAAACAGCACCTACCACGTGCCCTTTTTCACCCCGTAAAATTTTTTATATACTATTTTAGGAAGAAGGTGTTACCCTTGACTTTATCTGGCTATTTGAAAGGCCTGGAACAAACTTAAAGGGGATTTTACTAGGCATTGGGCGGAGTTTTTCCCATTAATATCAACTTCAAGATATACTATAATTCACGAAATTCGTTCATTAGTGATAGGCTCACAAAATGTTTTAAACGTAACAAGGGTTGCCTAATGATTGGATCCACTATTTTTCTATCTGGTTCTTAAACCGTATTAAGTCAGTTTGATTTAATTGCGTTTACTTCATTTAAACCATGCTTATGAGTTTTATCAATCTACACTTAATTTACATTGGCTGATCGAGACTTATCTTTTAATAAATAGCAGCGCTTTCATATTTACAAAACAATACAATATACCTAATCTTATTTCTAATCTATAATCTCTATTTCTAGATTTAGTTTTAAACTAAATCAATTCGTTATTCTTTCAATTATATTAATTTTGTTATACTTTTAACGCTATTCCTTTAGATTTAAAATTCTTGGTTTACAGAAAGTTTGGTTGCCATATGCTTGGCGGCTTTGGCGAACGAATATAGCCTGCTTTATGGCTTAATGGCCTCTATTTGAATTTTCTTTAAAAACGACCCTATAAATTTGTTTTTGACGTTATATTTTAAGTACCCTTTTCAAAATTACTTATTTCGCACATGTTAAGGATTTCTAAACCTTTCTACGAACTTCTAATTGCAGCTCTTTCCAAGAATTATTTTAACCGTTTTCTCAACTTTCTTCCTATTACAAAACAATATAAAAAATGAATGGAAAAATTCTAGCCAAAACTATTAATTTACCCCACTATTCCTAGAAAAATATCCTATTTAAATGAAAATTGTCTTGGAAAATACGCTACGTCAGTTATGTATATCTCGATTAAAAATAAATCATGGAAGCTTTCCTTCCCATTTGTATAGAATAAGAGTAATATAAACTCCTGTGTGCTCTTGTGACAACATATCTACAGCTGATCTTAATAATATATATTAACTGAAAAAACGACAATATATGTATATTATAATCTCTCAAATAAATTAATCAAACTTAATATATATCCAAATTACAATCTTACTTATCTTCTATCTTTTGATAATCAAAATATTAACAAAGCTCTCGTTGAATACGTTAAAGAGGCAAAACTGCCTTCCTCAAACCCCTTAAAAATCGCTGCCCTCCTGTTATGTTAAAAATGAAAGTCGCTATGATAGGCATTATAGCGTGAAGTGAGTGCCCTTGTATTTCTACTTTATGTATGTCACATTAGGGTGCTTTTTTTCACAACTATTCTTCTTTTTTCGCTCCCAACTTAAAATCTTGTTGAAAATGTTCCAAAAAAAATTCCCTGAAAATTTGAGCACTTAATATTAACATAAAGTACTCTACCAAAGCGTATAAAGATTTCCCATTTAAAATACACGTAAACTTTGATTATTTTTTTTTAATATCTATATCTCAGCCGCATTTTATGCTATTGGATTGTTTCAAAAAAGGATTTACTCGTAATCAAAAGTTCTACAAAAAAGCTGTAATCTGCACCTGTAGGATGGTACGGGTAACTAAATCTTATTTTAGTGAAAAATTCTCATATTTTTGAAGATATTTCAAAAGTGACTGGATTCTTTGAAAAAATGTAATGGACAAATTTGTGGAAAATTTAATTTTCTTTTAAAAAGGTCTTATCAGTTGAATCGCTAAGATTGATATTTGTTGAGATATAAAGCGTTTACATTGACAATTTATGAAATTTTTAGGATTTTATTTAACTTTTTATAAATGATGATTTTCAATTGTTTATCAGTACAATTTCATCTAATTACGTTTTTTTTACTGTCGGTGTATTACATACAACATGTTATTTTATTAATAATTATGCTTGGTTGTTTTAGTTATTTATTTTTATATAATCACCCGACTGTAAAAAAAGTAATTACATGAAATTGTACTGATAAACATTTGAAAATCATCATTTATAAAAAGTTTGGTACGAAAATACTGAAAATTTCATAAAATGTCAATTTAAACGCTTTATATCTCAACAAATATCAATCTTAGCGATTCATCTGATAAAACCTTTTTTAAAGAAAATTAAATTTTCTATAAGTTTGTCCTTAACATTTTTTTAAAGAATCCAGTCACTTTTGAAATATCTTCAACAATATGAGAATTTTCACTAAAATATGATTTTGTGACCCGTACCATCCTACAGGTGCAGATTACAGCTATGGCACATAAAGCATTTTTGTAGAACTTTTGATTACGAGTAAATCCCTTTTTGAAACAATCCAATAGCATAAAATGCGGCTGAGATATAGATATTTAAAAAAAAATCAAAGTTTACGTGTATTTTAAATAGGAAATCTTTATACGCTTTGGCAGAGTACTTTGAGTTAAGGGCTCAAATTTTCAGGAATTTTTTTTAAGAACATTTTCAACAAGATTTTGAGTTGGGAGCGAAAAAATAAAAATAGTCGTAAAAAAAAGCAACCTAATGTCACATATTATGTGAAATGAGAAATAGTAATATTACTATTTCTATATCCTTATATGTATCCATAAAGAAATATAGAACTGTTAAGAAATAAAAATAAATATAACAATAAATACTTAATTAATATCACAATACCTTTTTTAAAATTTTATAAATTTAATATAATAATCAATTTTAAATAATTTATGATAATATTTTTACTTTATTAAAATTTTCAACGATTATCTTTAAAACAATCTGTGGAAAAGGAGCAGATACTCGGCCAAACAAATTTACATACATCCATATATAAATATTAAACTCTTCTGAAAGTACTATAGTACGAGGATCGTTCGGTAACTACGTGGCCTAACTAAGAAAACGCAAATTTTTTTGGACAAAAAACATTTTATTTTTCAATTTAGTCTCCAGCTCCCTTAACACAATGGTGGACCCAGGTTTCATCGACGGTTATGAAACGACGCAAAAACTCCTTTGGATCGTGGCGAAAATGTCTCAAAAGGTCGCGAGACACACTCAAACGATTCAGTTTTTGCTCCGGTGCACCGCGGTGCAAGCAATCGCGGCACCCAACGCGCCAAGTATTTTTTCATTTCCAATTCTTCGGTTAAAATTCTGTGCACACTGTCATAAGAGGTACCCATTATGTCTGCTATCTTGCGCACTTTTACTCGACGGTCATTCAATACGATATGGTGCACTTTTTCAATAATATCCGGGAGAGTAGCCATTTTTGGACGTCCACTACGGGGTTCATCATTTGTACTCGTACGATCACGTTTAAATTCGGCAACCCAGTTTTTAACCATTAAAAACGAAGAAGCGGACTCAAATAGTGTTAAATCCAGCTCTGCTTTAATTTCGGTTGGTGTTAAGCCTTTTAAATTGAAGTACTTTATCAGTGCTTGCAATTCAATTTTTTCATTGTTTACAAAATTACACGAGACGTTCACTTTGGCGTACTGTCAAAAACAGACTATTTGACAGATCACTTTGTAGTATTATATTTAACCTATTAAAAGATGATTTCATAAAATGGTAAAGAAGATTCTTCCAAATTCGCGCCATTTATGTGTTAGGCCACGTAGTTTCCGAACCATCCTCTTACCTATACGTTTCCATGTCTACTTGGATTTAGTAAAAGTTTTTTCCGTGCGCTAACGTAAACGCAATAAACTAATTACCTTATTAACATTATCCTGGGCATGGTTTAATTATTTTTATGTTAAACTTAATTTAATAAAAATTGTATATTTTCCAGTGACGGACGCCCTGCACCTTTTAACGCTTCGCACAGTTTGCCGTGGTCACGAGGGGCTGCTGCTGCGTCGCCCTGTGAGGCTTCCATCTCGCCAAGCACCCGACTCGAGCCGAAGTGAGACAAAGACGAAGACGAAGCACCTTTGGACGGCATCGGAGATCGACGAGCGAGCAACGCAACGCGCGACGCGCGCCCGCACCGAACGCGACAGATCACGCGAATGTTACAGTGCAGTGCTCCGGACGCTTACCGAACTGTTACATCAAATTCACAGGACCTTTTTCTCGGTACTTTTGTATTACCATAACGATTGTTTTTGGGTGAGATATCCTGCCAAACATATAACATAATTATTACATTAAATGGTAGTGGCGCGGCGCAGTCCAACACTCTGCACTTTGTTTTCAAAACAACAATTTTAACATGTTTTAAGACTTTTTATAAAAAAACTCGATGTGTTCTTTTGGTTTAGTTGTAAAAATATTACACTATTTATCAATCAAGTACCATCCAAAAGTGCAATTTATACTTAAATCCTATTAATATTATGAAAATAAAATAACTAAAGCTTTATACAACTGAAGCTTATCCCTAAGAACACATTTTTTAAAACAAATCCTCCATTTTTATGGAAATCCACAAATATCTACTTTGCATTTTACAAATTTTAAAAACCATAAGACTAGTTCCATTTTTACATCATTTTGATGCTTTATATAACTAGAAAAGCAAATAATTTAGAATAGTATTTTAATAATAAGAAATTTGTAACGAGTAAAGTAAACAAATATTCGATTTTATTTTGAATAAAATGTACAAATAAAAATATGCTTTAAATGATTTAAGAAATTAAATAGAGTAAATAAACACCACATTACTTTTACTTATCTTTTTAAACAAAGCAAGTTTAAAATTTTGTAAATATAATAATAGGAAAACAAACTTGGTCGTCATTACCCAATAATTTTCCTTGAAATGTATTTCAAATAAAAAGTCTAGAACATAGAATATTTTAAATATTTTTAGCTTATACCTAGAAATTTCAACAGTTAAGTACCTATGAAGAATAACCTGTAGCTATCTTAAGAACTACCTTTAAACAATAATTCTTTAATTAATAATTAAATTCATTATTAAATTAAATCATGATATTTTCAAACGTCAAATTATCCATCAAAAATAAAACTGTTGTTTTGATTACAAAGTGAAGATTTAGAAAACCTATTCCGCTTCACTATGGTGAATAAACCTATAAATAATATGAAAGTAACTTATAATAATAATAATGATAACGTAATACTTAATAATGAGTAACCAAAGCAGTAACGCCATCTTGAATTGCATAGGCGCGAGACGCCATACCGAAATAACGCAGAGCCACAAGTCTGGATAATTTAGAGGCAAGTTAAAGTTTAAAAGGCTTCGTGATAATAAAATAGCAAATAAAAAACAAATAAAACAAGATTTATTAGTAATGGCAATATTAAAGTTTTTAATTTGTAGCAATGTTCTACCAAAATTATTAAAAATGTACCTATTCAATATTTATTATATTCATTTAGACATCTTCTAAAAATTTAATATTTAAATCATTTCAGAAACACCCAACTTACAAAGTTATTTTAAATTTTATCACAATTTTAAAATCCAGTCTCATAAGAACATAATATTTATTTATAACTCGGCGGCCATTTCAAGGATTCGAACAGGACAAATCACAAAACTGTTTTTATAAAAAAAATTGTACGTAATTTATTGTATATTATTTTTGCATCAAAATTGTCAAATATATTTTTCTTTTATTAGGCTATACATTAAATAAAAAACGCAAAGAATATTTTATAAAAGTAGAGATAATTTTAATAATTGACAGGTGTGGGGACAAGATAAATCTTTTTTTTGTCCTGTTCACACCTTTTAATTATTAAAATTATCTTTACTTTTATAAAATATTTCTTGCGTTTTTTTTAGTTAATGTATATCCCAATAAAAGAAGAATATTTTTGACAATGTTGTTGCCAAAATTTTATATAATAAATTTTCTACAATTTTTTCTATAAAAACTTTTTGAATTCGTGCGATTCGCGCTTTAAATGGGCGTTGGACCATTTTCAAATTAATATATTATTGTTTATAAACAATATTTAGTTTTCCTTTTTTTATAGGTAAATTGCATAAACTTTATTTTTATTTTTTACTTATTGCGATTTATTTATTTAAACATACCTCAAGTAATTTCACAAAATTGCACTGAGGGCGTGTCTAAAAATGATTCAATATAAAAGCTTTTTTGTATAACATTTAAAAATTGTCCAGTTTATGCCAAAACATTTTAGACTTGTGTTGCTGCGCAGACGTGACGCGGCGCCATGCCAGATATGCTGTGTAGTGCTCACACGAACTCTTATTAGTTCTTGGCACTGTTTTAAGTGCTTGTATTTTTGGGCTGTGTGAAGCTTACCTAGGGTTGGATTAGCTTTAGCCCTTGTTACATATCCACCCCGCGTAGCCGGACCGGTAGGAATGAGGGCGGTCAGGGCGGCTCTCCGACCGCCAAGCCTCGGCAAACAACAACAATATATTGGGGTATACCCGCTTGGAATGACACTTTTTCGTGTAAATTGGTGAAAGGTTTGAATATTATAAATAAGTGTAAATTTTTATAATTGTAAATACCAAGAAATATTCCTTTTACCTTAAGTTCATAAACACCTATAGCCAATGAAAGAAATAATAATAAAAATGCTTTTAACGTGTTCGAGTTATTTACAACTTTTTTAAACATATTTTAAGGTTAAAATACTCAATACATTGACCAATAAATGTAAGTTTAACTAAATATTATTGTTATAATACTCAATTAAGAAATTATTATATTTTACTGAAAACACCTACTTACAGGAACGCCTAAATACAGGAATGGGCTCCATCTTAATATAATTTTTGCGTAAAATAAAACAAACCAAATCAAACCAAACCCAACCAACCCAACCCCCCGTAACCGCCCTATTGAAGCCTAACCACCCTATTGAAGACGATTATTCCATCGTGCATTGCCCTTTATCTCGAACTTTGTTACCGATGGAATAATCGTCTTCAATAGGGTGGTTATGCTTCAATAGGGCGGTTACGGGGGGTTGGGTTGGTTGGGTTTGGTTTGATTTGGTTTTATTTTACGCAAAATTTATATTCAGATGGAGCCCATTCCTGCATTTAGGCGTTCCTCTACTTACTACCTAATTATTTAAATTGTATATTACAAACCATAGTTGTAAGTTGATAAAACTAACAATAAACTGTATAAAATATAAGTTATTGTAAATACCTACTTACAATATATTATAAAAGTGTATAGGCACTGATGTATTATTTTTGATATTACTCAATGAAATAAAAATATTAAGTATTTGTATAAATCAGTATTAAAGTTGTAAATAATTTTAGTTTTATGTATCTTTCTGAAAGCTACATTATTTTTATTTATTTTATAAGTTACATATTTTCTCTTAAAGTGCTGATTAAAGAATAAAACACGAGAATACTCGGAGAGTACCCAGGTTTTATACTTTAAGAAGAATTTTAACTGTCAAATAAAATAAAGTGTTGTTCCAACCTATCGTTCGGGTACGATGAACGAGATTGCACGATGTTTGCCGATCGCTTGTTCGTAGTCTCGAAGCCGTTGTGTTTGTCGGCCGGCCCGCGACATTATTGGCCGCTCCCGTCCCACCCTCGCAATATATCACTATTTAAATCGAATTCGAATGCTAAATAATCATTACTGTGTAGATAATCAATAATCAAAACCGAACAATGATTTATTTGTTTGTATCAGGCGGAATAATTGTGTATGTTAATGTTATTATTGTTGTTTCGTTCGTGTGTGGTGGCGAGGGGGCGGGGCGAACCGGCTTTTCCCGCCCACCCCGCGACTAACGCACACCAACCGTGCGCGTCCGCTAACGGCGCCGCTCATTGTCATTTATTTGTGAATCAGTATGAATCTAGTCATGTTTGTTACAATTTAAAATATTTTATAAATGTTGATTAATATACGACATTCCTATTTCAAAACCTTGTCTTTCATTTAATATAACATTAATATAACTTTATAATAGTTAGTATAAATCCTTCAAGTAGTTTCACTCTCCTGAAAAATTAAATAAAAAATCCCTTCCTTAATTACTTGTATCTGGGATCACATATGTTATGTTATCGTAAGTTGTTTTTAGTTCAAGAAGTAAGTAAAGTCGCTCCTTATCCAAGTAAGTAAACACTGCAAATGAAAAAATATTGGCCATATTCAGAGCTAGGCACGAGTACTAAAAATGTATACGAGTGCTTAAAATATTTACTCATTGTTTGTATTAGTTAATATATTATTCTTTTTATACATATATGTATACATTATAAATACTTTGGTCCTGAACTATAAAACAAATACAAATTTATAAAATTATTTATTTTATACATTAGGTAAAGGGTGATCCCCTATAATGTCGCCCCTCTTTAACTTTTATATTTTTCCAAAAAAAAATTGGAAAATTGATCAGTATACATTTTTTCTCAATGGATCACCCTATATATAAATTTATTTTTCGATTCCTAAATTCAACCGTCTGAAATATTTAAATTATTTTTAAGATATAAGTTAAAATAGTTTGTCTTTCTCGTATTTTTTAGTTCCTACATAACCACACTTTTAAATTTTTAGGGACAAAATAAAAAAATTTATAGGGGGGCCACGTTATAGGGGATCACCCTGTACATAACATTATAAATTAACCCGTGAAAAAAATTTTTTTGCTTAAATTATCTATAGTATAGCGACATTTCATGGCATTCATTTGAACATGGTTGGAAGTTGGAGAGGGATCATTCTTCTTTCAAAGCTCTTACAGCTAATTTCAAACTTTTGAATTATATTGCCAGTAAAAAATTGTCTAGTTGATTTTTGCTCTTGGTTTTTCGAAATTTATCTCAGAAACAATTTATTTTGCGGGTTCGGCTGTTAATGTCTTGTGGGAAATTAAATTCTCTACAAAAAGGGTCCTTTACAATTTTGGTGTCAAGACAATAGTTTAGGAGAAAAAATCGACACACCACGATTTTTGGGCAAAAATCAACTAAACAATTTTTTACTGGCAATATAATTCAAAAGTTGGAAATTAGCTGTAAAAGCTTTTAAAGAGGAATTATCCCTCTCCCACTTCCACCCATGGTCATATGAATGCCATGAAATGTCGCTATGCTATAGATAATTTAAGCAAAAAAAATTTTTAAGGGGTTAATTAAATGGGAAAACTTTAAATTCATTTAGCGAGTACTTAAAATTAAAATTAAGAGCTCTTCTTTGGTGGGAATTTTTTTCTATGTTTAGAACAATATTTCCTCAATGGAGTGAGAAAAAAAATGGTCGTCTCAAACGAAGCACCCTAATTTTATACTATATAAACAGACTTCCAAAAAAAATGTTTTGATGCTTACGATATTTTGGCAAAAAGTCATCGATATAATAAACGGAAATACTTGTATATATTACTCGTGAATTCCACGAGTATGAATATTTTATGCTTATACTTGAGCCAAAGATCCTTATTCAAGGATTAAGTTGGAGAGAACGTTTCAAGATGGAGAGTAATTAATAAACAAAAAAAAAACGATTCGAGACGGGAGTGAAGTCATATACGGTGGCACTTTTTTTATAATATAGAAATACAAAATAATCTATCGGGCGCTAGCGGATTCAATATGGTTTTTTCCGGATACGGCCCGATAGAAAATTTATAGGAAATTACCTACCTAAAGGCACACCATAACCTTTACATTTTCCCTATTGAGACCGATAGCAAATAACTCAATGAAGGATATATAGGGATATCCATATAGAGCAACCATAAAACATTTGACAACATTTTATTAAAACCTATGGGGGAAAAACTAATTTCTACATTTATGTGTATTTTCCTCATTGAAACCAATAGGAAATAAATCAAGGCTGGATATCCCTATAGAACAACCATAAATCCCAACTATGGGTCCTATTCATACCGATACACCCTATAGAAACACCATACATTCCGATACAAATATCTATCAGTTTGAACAGGGTCTCTATGGGGTATTTTAAGCAGGGAATGCAGGCTTTAAGGCGCAAGACTTTTTTCTTTTTTTTGAAATTCGGATTATGCACACATGTCCATGTAACATGGGAAACATATTTAAAAAATAAAAATGACTGGATTTTCAAAAAAACTAAAAAACGGTGGTGTATAGATGCCAAGGATCATTTAGGAAAACAATTAGTGGTATATAGTCACCATCAATCATTAAGTTTTAGGAAAACGATTGATTTTTATTTATTTTACAAATATGCAGTCTGACCCATTTCTTCGCGACTTACCCCTGAAAAATCTTTATTTATTGTGCGATTTTAACCGGATTTGTTTTAAAGTGTAGATCTTGATAAACTGTATTTGAAAGCAAAAGACGCCATATTAGTACAAAATACAAGGCCTATTATGTCAGTTTTTAGGAGTAAATTTTTAATTAATCATATTAGCGATTTTTTTTAACAAAACCTTATACGGCACTGGATTCACCACCGCTCAAAACGACCCTACATTAAATTTTATTAAAAAATTTTAAGAAAAAGAATGCACAATAATAACTACTAAAAATTATTTTGTCAAGTTATCCATAAGGCCTTTTTGATCTATGGGCTTATCCATATTAGGTGATTTTGAGCAAATTGTCACGCGTGAGTACTAACGCATATCAGACGAAATATATAGACATAAGTATAAAATTTATATACCTTGAATAAAAAGGTATAGCTACAATTTGAAATAGGTAATTTAAAATTACATACGTATAAGCCAGTTCTGACATGATATAGCCTATAGATAAGGCAAGTTTTGGAACGATAGTCAATTTGTAAATGAATTTTGAATGGAATAAGGTGCGTTTTAGAATAGTATAATATAAGTATAGTTATATATAACTTTTTCAGAGTATAAGGGGCTACCGATTTCTCGACATACGGATAACCTAGCGGTTCCTTGGATTATATAAGTACGTAAAAGAAAACAACAATAATTGTAATGTCTGTGCTTGGTTCAGAATTTGATGACGCAATTTGAAACATTCGCCGCGACAACTATATGATAATATATTCACATTGCACTTTACAAAGAATACCAACTTTTTGTACAGATATTTATTGTACTTGTTAGCTTTAAAACCTAGCATTAAAATAAATAAAATAAAACTCAAGTATCTAAACAAACTTATTTACTTTATTTATCATACTTTAGTAAACTAGGTTTTATAAATACACTAAAACATTATTTCTTATAAATCAATAATTAGGAATGACAAAATTTGAATAAAAATAACTGGGAATTGATTGAGTTAGAAATTGATCTAAAATAATTTAATTGTAAATGATTCCCTAACACTAACACCTGGTTTACGTATCACAAGTGAGCTTTGTTCTGCATCATAGCTGGTTTCTAATTTTACTTCACCCAAGCCTATAATAGGAAACACAATAATTATTAAACCATTAATAAAATTAAAATATATATAAACTTACTTTTGCTTTTAAGAGTGGCACCTTTAACTCCACTGGGTGGGCCAAGAATGACAACTCTTTCAATCCATTCCTTTGTAGGATAATCAGTCTTGTCTATTAAGCTAAAATATTAGTAAGGGTAGGTATTTATGCAAAATAGTATTCCTTTTTTTTACCAACCTTCCAGTTAGTACATTATTTTCAAAGTTGAAATTAATGTAGACGTATTTTTTGTTTCGGTATTCAAAACTTTGGTAATCGTCAACAAATAGAGTTCCTTGAGCAGATTTCTAAAAAAAAACATTAAGTGATTGTTTCCACTGGGCTTGGATCAAATTTAAGCCAAAAGAGCTTGCAACTTTAATATTGTTACATGTATGGTTCGCCCATTTATGAAAAAATCGCTAGAGGGGATTGAATACATTAAAATAAACTTGATTTTGGTATATTTTTTATAGGTGAACCAGTTTTATTAAAAACTATGAATTTTTTTATAAAATTCTTTATTAAATAAAAAGTATTGGGTCATTATTTTCCATAGTGTGTTTTGTTACTCTATATTCGTTTTGCTGTGTCTAGGTGCACCTTAAAGTGTACGAAAATATAATATTGGGTAGGTACACGTAAATGGCGTGTATACCAATTTGCGACAGAAAAATATTAACGGGCGTTAAATAACCGGTAACTACAAGCGGGATTATTCATAACCTAATATAAAAAAACACTTCATGTAAACTGTGTGACAAGCGTGTTTACAGTGTTAATTATTTAATAATAATAATAATAATTTATTGTATTAATTATACAATAAATTATTATTATTAAATAATTATGCGGCACGGGTGTTTAGTTCGTTTGAAGAATTCACAAATCATTGAAATCAATATGAAAAGGAAAATAAACAGAAGTTATGTAGGTAATACCATTATGGTATTATATAACTTATAATCTTGTAAATATTATGAATTTATTGTAAAATATAGGTAGGTATACCTATATAGTTAATGACAAATTTTCTGAATAACATTCATTATATTTTTGCTTTCCATATATTTTTCTTCATGTAGTGCTCAATAATACGAAAACGCATAAACCAAAAGTTCTAACACCACCTAAAAAGACATTGCCTCCGGACTTTTCTTGTTTTTCAGAACAATTTGACCGGAATAAGTATCAACTGCAAATACTGACCTAGTTTTTCGTAATCCATTTCTTTCCTATTTTCGATTTCGATGTATTGTTTTTTTTATTAAATAGTAATAAAATGAACTAAATTATAAACTGTAAATACAATAAGATTATTTATTAATAGTATTATTATTATTACTAATAATTATAATTCTTAGTTATTTTTAAATTAAATTAAACTATTTATAAAAATAAAAATCAACCTGACAACTGAGGTTATATTAGATTATCTCTCCTTGCGTTCTTTTCCTTTTGATTTTCTATCCTTATATATATTATATATTATACTTATTCTATTGTATACAGTGTACAAATAGTCGCCATTTTTTAAGCTTTGAAGGATATTTTTTTGTAATATTAACCGCTAGAGAATGATTTTTTTTATTTTGTAGATATAAGTTTAAAATAGGGTATGCTATGTATATTTTAATTACAATATTTAAAATATTTCAATTTTGATGTTTTGGCCGCGCAGTCTACGTTAGATACCTACCCGGTTTTTAACAAGAAAGATTTTTGTAGCAAATTTTATGCACCTTTTCTTTATTAACTTATTTATTCCTATTCCTAGTTTTATACAGGGTGTTTTACATTCGTTGTCCATTAGAAGTTTCTGGGGAACGAAAAATAATATTAATTTGAAATTTTAAAAGCGTTTATAATCCATTAAGTCTATTTTTCGTGGTCCATTAGAAGTTTCTGGGGAACGAAAAATAATATTGATTTGAAATTTTAAAAGCGTTTATAATCCATTTAAGTCTATTTTTCTAAAATATTTTGAACAAAATGCCACTTCCGGTTTAAACGGAAGTGATATCAACTTTGTTATTTTAAATAAAACACCCCATATATTTTTACATTTTTAAATTCAACATCAAATTCTGAGTAAAATTTTTATACCATGTTCTAAAGTGAATATTTTTCGAGTTATTATTTTTTCTTACTACCTCGACTCAAAATACGTTGTTTCGTCCCCGATTTCACGGCAGAAAGTTTACGTTTCTTGCATTGGTCAAGCTATACGCGCACACTCTAATAGCGGGAGTAAAAATTTTTTAGTCGTGTGCTTAACATTCAAATTTCGTACTGCCAACATGAGAAACACAAAAATATGACAGTTTTAAACCATAATTTTGCAATTATAACAACAAATAACCAATTTATGTTTTTACTTTTTTACTTTTTATGTTGTTTTAAGTGTTTAATGGTACTTTTATTTGTTATAAAGTAGTAATTTGTTAATTAAAATACAACCTTTCATTTTTACTGTATTGGCACCGCTGAATTCACGGCCTACTGTTATTTATTTATCAAGCTCTTCAAATGGAGATAGGTACATAAATACACATTTAATTTTTTCCCGTATTTTCGGCCGGGTTGTATTTTCGGCCGAGGTAGTAAGAAAAATAGTATACACTACACGGGCAGAAAGTGTGAGAGTCCTGAACTGCGCGCCATGATGCCCTCGGCTTCGCCTCGGGCATCATGGCACGCAGTGCAGGAATCTCACACTTTCTGCCCTTGTAGTGTAATATACTATTTTTCGTTAAAGTTTAAGAAATGCGCAGCAATAAATTGTTTATAACAACCTGAAAAATTGACGCCATTAAATTTTAAACAATGACAAATTACGTGGTAACCATAGATACCGTCCACTCACCCGTCACAGGTTTCTTGATACAAAATAATATTTAAAATTTTAGAAATTGTTAAATATCTCTGAAATTATTAACTTTAGGTATAGGTAATAGTAACATCAATCGAAAGGTTACATTTAAAATAAAAAAAAAGTTATTAACCTTTCAAGTTCAGTTCGGTTTTGGGTCTCGTGTCGTCGGTTGCTCTATGAAAGAGTATATGAAAAATAAGTGACTTCTCGACCCAGGAGAGGCAAAATCGGACTCCCAGTGTAAAAACAAACTGGTATTAATCAAGAATTTGCAAAAATATATGGAAATAATTAAGAGATGGATCGGATGATTGAAGATTAAAGACAATTGGAAAATTCTGTGTATGATAGTGTGTAGATAGTGAAGCGAAAAGATGACATGGTTCTATAAAAATTGATAAATAATTAACAATAAATAAATGATTCAAGGGATGAGTTAATCTCATATTCTTTTAAATAAGACCCTTGATCATAATAAAGAAAATTTTAATAATATAATGTGCTGGCCAAATAGCTTTTAAACTAAGCTAAAGGTCATTCCTCTGAACACAAAATTGTGTTCAGAATTAAGAAGAAGAAAAAGAAGAAGAACCTTTCAAGTTAGCCTAATTTGCCCTGGGTTTTCTCAGGAAAATTGTTGAAAAATGTTAAAGAATTGATAGAATCTTTTAAATAATGTTTTAAGATTTCAAAAATTCCAACCTCATATTTGCAAACATAATAACAAAAAAGTTATATGCTATTTTTGATTGACGCGCATTTCTCAAATTTTAACGTAAAAAATTAATAACTCGAAATAGTATATTACACTACAAGGGCAGAAAGTGTGAGATTCCTGCACTGCGCGCAATGATGCCCGAGGCGAAGCCGAGGGCATCATGGCGCGCAGTTCAGGGCTCTCACACTTTCTGCCCGTGTAGTGTATACTATTTTTCTTACTACCTCGGCCGAAAATACAACCCGGCCGAAAATACGGGAAAAAATTAAATGTGTATATCGAAACATATTGATGCCTGCCCAATTTTGAGGTTATATTAGTGTCGTAATCAGAGTTGCATATGTTGAGCACACGACTAAAAAATTTTTACTCCCGCTATTATAGAGTGTGCGCGTATAGCTTGACCAATGCAAGAAACGTAAACTTTCTGCCGTGAAAAATGCCTGCCCAATTTTGAGGTTATATTAGTGTCGTAATCAGAGTTGCATATGTTGAGCACACGACTAAAAAATTTTTACTCCCGCTATTATAGAGTGTGCGCGTATAGCTTGACCAATGCAAGAAACGTAAACTTTCTGCCGTGAAATCGGGGACGAAACAACGTATTTTCAGTCGAGGTAGTAAGAAAACAATTTTTACTACTCCTATTACGAAATTTGACCCTTCTAATATCACTTTTATCTATGGAATGACATATATTCCGTAAAGTGTTACAGAATGAAATATTCTATCATCTGATGACAGAATAACATATACTTACCACCCGTGTGGTAAGTATATGCAGAATAAACACTCGTGGCGACATCTCTGTTTTTAATATCTCACTTTCTTCCAATTAAATTATTTTTCTATGGTATTTTTTGGAAACGTAGAAAAAGTATAGTGAAACACGTTTGGAATTGCATATTCCGCTCTCGTGAAACCGTCAAACTTGCCTTCGGCTCGTGCGGAATATGCTGTATTCCAAACTTGTTACAGAATATACTATACTTTAGGTATAGGACAGCAGAATTTTATTTAGAATGACACGTGGCAATTGTTTAAAATATTTTAGAAAAATAGACTTAAACTTAAACTTTAAATCGATATCTTTTTTTGTTCCCCAGAAACTTCTAATGGACCACAAATGTGAAAAACCCTGTTTATTGAGTACCTTTATTGTGTTCTTCACAAGCCATAACTTTAAAAGCTCGTAGTGTAGCTCCTAGGCATAAAGTCTCTTAAAGGTATAACATACCTAAATTTAAGCAAAATCTTTTATATTTTTTTCTAAAAACAAAAATCCTTGTTTTTTACATTATTTTTTAAATTTAAGTAAAAGTTCCTAACAAAACATTATAAAATTTATATTATAAATAAATAATCCCTCTAGCCAATGTTTTTCATGTGGGCCCAGATAACAATATGTGTAAAAATATTTCAGTCGCAAACTTTTTGTTAATAATAAATCAGAAAAATAAATTATATATTTTTTAATGGATTATTAAAGAAACTCTGCAATTGTATTAATATTTGATTATTAAATGGTTTTCTTATGCCAACAAGACAATTCATGTTTACTGCATTGCAGTCAAATGCAAAGAAAATCCAGTGTTTGCCAAAACCAATAAAAAGATAAGTTAGGTAAAACTTTTGACAGTAAACAAAACGAATATTGGTGTATTTATAGAATTTATAGAAAAATTATTAAGTATTATATTAATACACGGAAATAT